TGTTGGAAATCACGTGATTTTGTGCCAGTCTTACGATGCCTCGAGGCCTCGTTGCAGCCTTATTCTCATTTCTATTGTTCTCAACTCTCGCTTACTCAGCTCACTTCTCGGCGCGGTGGCAAGCACTCGGCGCAGCTCTATTGTTCTATAGCAGCCTGTAGATATATAACCGGCTCTCTGAGCGTGCAATGAATCACCATCTCCAATCAGTTCTACTACGCTCAGCCTGCCAGATCATCGATCCAGCGGCATCACGAGCCTAAGTTCCCAACAAAACATGTTTACGCCCCGAGTTGCAGATTCTCATCTTTTCCCTCACATCTAAGCAATCTACCGATTCCCCCCTGAGCTCTTGCTTATCTGGGTGCATAGTACAATGAACAGGAAGGAGATTAGGCCCCAGAAGTGACGTTGAGAGTGATGACGAGAGCCCTACAGCTGACGTGAACCGTGGTGTGTGTCAGGATCCATCGCTCCGTCCGCGCAAACAAGCTTTCAGACAGGCGCTCTTCTCCGAATTGTGTGAGCCGCAGACCCTACGTCAGCCCGTCCGTCCGCCGCTTATCCCAGCCGCGTCTAAAACGTGAGGTGCTCCACACTCGTGCCAAGATCCAGTCTCGGATCAAAGTTATCTGGTTGGCCACCGACGTAACCTGGACGCCAGCGACGGGCGCGAGGGGACATCACGAGGGTTGGCCTGGCAACGGCGAAGGCCGGAGCTTGGCCGCACGAATCGCAGATCCCAACCGAGTCCAACCTGCAGAACTTCGGGCACCAAACAGCGGCCCAGAAGCGATCCAGCATGGACATGTGATGTCAGGGTGGAATGCGATTGGTCGGAATTGTCCGTGGAGCAAGACTGGCGAATGACTAAGGGTCCCACCGAGGGACCGGGCAAAATCTTGACTCGAGAAGGATTTCGGCGGGTCAGGCGACACCGCGACCGCAACGGCGCGAGGCAGGCGCCGCAGGCGGCTCGCGGCTACATGCTTGGTCATGACGACGGATGATGACCTCAACTCTTCTCACTTGCCCACTCACTTCGACTCACATCTAGCCCACACTACAGTCACCTGTGACACTCGCAACACAAAAGAACGTCCCGCCAACGTTCATAACAGACGCAAATTAGCGAAATTCTGCGACTCATCTGAATTCATTCAAAACACAGGCACGAACCACACGCTCATGTCGACCACGACGATTGAGCTTGCGACGCTCGAGCGGGGCGTCCACGGCTCTGGCGACCCGACGCCGGGCCCCTCCATCCCGCCAACCCCCGCGCGTTCGCTGAACAACTCGCCCGACCACTCGCGCCGAACAAGCCGGACGAGTTTTGACATCCCCTCCCGGCCCCCTTCCGCCGTCACGACAATCCCAAAAGCAAACTATGAATACGAGTATCCTCCCCCCTCTGCCGTGCCGTCTGTGCACTCGCGAAGGCCGAGCGAGGAGGGCATTGGCGCCGCCGAGCTCGACAATGACACGGCAACGGCGGCGCTTCCGCCCGTCGACGGGGGCAAGCGGGCGTGGACCTTCCTCGCGGCCGCAACGTTTATCGAGACGACAGTGTGGGGCCTGCCGTACACTGTGGGCGTGTTCCATCAGTATTGGCAGACCAAGATGTTCCCGCACGACGAGAGCACGCTCACGCTGGCGGCTACGTTGCAGACGGCGCTCATGTACATGTCGACCGCGCTGCTTGGACCGTAAGCCAAATCAATGGCCAGAGCTAATGACAGACTGTTCCAGGCGTTTCCCCACTACTCGCGCCAGTTCCAGATTATCGGCCTGACCGTCTCGACGGCTGCGCTGATTGGGAGTGCATTCGTGACGCAGGCGTCCCACCTCGTCATCACGTTTGGTGTCCTGTACCCCTTTGCCGGGGCGCTGTACCTCCCCTGCGCAACGCTGCTGTACGAGTGGTTCCACCAGAAGCGCGGGCTCGCCAATGGCATTCTCTTCTCCGGAACGGGCGTGGGCGGCACGGTGCTGCCCATCGTCATTTCGGCCCTGCTCAACGGCGTCGGGTACAAGGCCACCATGCTCGCGTTGGGGATCGCCTTTGGCGTGTCCAACCTCGTCGCCATGGTCTTCATCAAGCGCCGTGTGCCCCTGCCTCCGCGCAGCGGACGGCTGCGAGACAAGCTGCGCGGCCTCCGTCCCGGCCGCCCCAACCGGAGGTTGCACGACGGGCACTCTGGACGACACACCGGCGGCCTGCGCGGCAAGTGGAACGTCGACCTCGGCATCACGCGCACGTGGGCGTTCTGGTGCGGCCTGCTCGTGCTCCTTCTCACGAGCATGGGCAACTTCAACCCGACGCTGTGGATCCCCACTTTTGCAGACAACGTCCACGCCCATCCCGACGGAACGGCCATGGTGTCCATCATGAACGCGGCGAGCGTACCTGGCAATCTCCTGCTCGGATGGATCTCCGACCGTGCTTCGGCCCGCGTCACGATTGCCATCAACTGCCTCGTCGCCAGCGTCATTGTACTAACCCTCTGGGGCTTTGGCACTAGCTCGTCGCTGCTCATTCTGTTTAGCATCTTCTGGGGCTTCTCTGCGCTCAGCTTTGTCTCCCTCTGGGGTAAGATGATTACGCGCATCTGCAAGGACAGGCCGAGCTGGATTTCCCTCATTTTCAGCATGTTTGCAGTTCTGCGCGGTGTTGGAAACCTCACCTCGGGTCCCATCTCGAGTAAACTCCTCCAGACGCAGGCGTTCAAGGGCGCCGCAGGAGCATACGGCAAGACCAATTTTGGCGCCGTACTCATCTACACGGCCGCGACCATCTTTGGCGGCGGCGCCATTGGCATCTTCTTCCCTGGCTCCAAGTAGGACATTTTACCTTGTACATAATCTCTCGATGCATATGCTGGCCAGGCCGGGTACAGTATTGGTACAGGTGGTGACAGGGTATCGGATCGACTAGGCGGCGGCCTGGGCGGTCGGGGCGACGTCGTCGTGCGCCGCGGCCCCTGCCGCTTGCGCCTGCAGCTCCTCGTCGTCGACCCAGCTCTGCTCCACTGTAACCTTGACGCGGCGCTCATACTCTTGCTTGTTGTCCTTGAAGAGCGTCGCCGCCTCCACATTCGCCGGACTCGACGGGTTCGGGTCGTTCAAGAGCGATTGCACACTCGTCAGGATCGCCGCCACGTCGTACGTCGGTGACCATCTGTTCTGCAAAATGTCAAGACACAGCTCGCCATTGTTGTAGATGTTTGGGTGGAACATGCGCGACACAAACCGCACCGTCGGCGGCTTGTTCGGGTACGAGTCGGTAAACGTGAGCGTCAGGCGGAACGATCCGTCCTCAAACGGCGTGTCGGCTAGGAACGTCAGCTCGGTCAACAAGATCGGCAGACGATAAACGATCAACAATTGCCACTGCCCACACTTACGAGGTCCGAAAATGACAGCGTTCCACACCATGATGTTGTCGTGGCACGGTGAGCCGGAGATGCCCTCGGGCGCCTCGGTGGCAAGACGCTTGAAGTCGCGAATGAGACGGCGCTTGGCGGCTGTAGACTGCTCGGTCAGCACATGTTCTCCCACGTTGGTGGCGACTGGGAACAAAGAATTGATTTAGGGTTGTGCCGAGGGTCCAGACAACGGCACACGACAGCGTCACGGTAGTCTTACACGAGCAGACTATGCGCCGTAACAGTCCCGAGCGACTCCGAGGCGGTGTCCATGCCGATCCGCTCAGGCAAGCCCCAGCTTACAAGACCACTGCAGATCCCCAAGCGGTGCTCCAGTCAGCAGTACTCACCATGATTGAGTCTGGATAGACGCAAAAGGTGGAGGGAAGGGGGCGGGCGTAGTAGGTGGGAGGTTATATATCGCGAGAGCAGACTATGCGGACTGGGAGGAGTGGGCTCGAGGGGCAGGACGCGAAGGGCGGGGAGGTCGGGCGTTGGAGTCGGCGGCGCGGCGGTGTGGGGGCTTGAAGAGGCGTTGACGGGAAGCAAAGCGAAGTTGTAGACGATACGATCGCGAGTGATGACCACGGTGCGTTCCCGTGATCAAGCCGGGTCCACCCCGATTTGCTCCCGTCGGCCCGACCCACTCCCCTAACTGCGCCTTATCTGCAGCACCAAGAGGGAAATTTAACAATGCATGTCCGGATGAATCAATGAATGCTACTGAATTGGTACAAGAATGATCTATGCAATCGCCTACTCGTCCCACCCGCGCCGCACGTCGACGGTCACCTCACTATCCCTATTAGTGTTAACGGCGCCGTTGATGTCGTTCCACGCGAGCCGCGTCACGTCAAAGATGTCCCGGTCCGAGCTCTCAGGGTGGACGTGCACCACCAGAGTCACGACGAGTGGCACGTGCTGGGCCGACTTGTCAGCGTCGAGATCCACCTTGATGTCGGTGAACGCCGCCGTTGACGGGGATGGCGTGCTGATTGAAACGCGCCGGCTCGGCGGAGCAGACGGAACGAAGGGTCCTTCCTCCGGCTGCGTCTTGCCCGCATTGATCGCCCAGACTCGCAGCGTGCCAAGTCCGAGGACACGCTTGTCGGCCGCCACGTCCTGCAGAGCGCTGCGCAAAGCCTTCATCTGGGGCGACGAGCTCGGCGGCGCAGTCTGCAATAGCACGTGGGCGTAGGCAACCGTCGGCGGGTATGCCAATGACGCAGTGAGAACAGTCAGAATCAGACTCGCTGCGGAGTCGAAGTGTGGGAGTGCAGAACTGCTGTTAGCTCAGACGATATAGTGGCAGCTCACAGTGGTGTCACGAGGCCGCCCAAGAGGAGAATGGCGGCGGTGCCGGCGACGGCGAGCGTGTATGGGTTGCACAAGAACTCGTTGGCTTCGACGAAAGGGATCGAGAGATACCACGCGGGCAGGTAGAGGGGTCCAGTGGCGTCGGCGAGCTTGGAGTGGTTGCGCAGCGCGACGCCCGAGAACAGGCTCGCCAGCGAAGCGAAGAACAGGAAAAGGTACGGGTAGTTGCGCGGCTCGGAGTGGTCGACGACGCCATGCGAGTGACCGTGGTCGTGGCCGCCGAGCACTGCCTGCTCGAGAGCCTCTTTGGCAATGTACGTGGCAGAGAAAACGAGGAAGACGCTCTGGCTGAAGCAGAGCAGCGATGTGAAGCGAGATGATCTAATGTCAGTTATGCACAACGGTAGACCCACCCATAGGGTCGCCTGAGGCTGTTCCACTCGATGTTCTCGGCCCTCGTAAACATGTTGATGGCGACGCCCAGAGCGTCAAAGACGACGAGGTAGCCCATGGCACTGAGCGCCCTCCAGCCACTGATCTGGCCCTCAATCCAGATGCCAGCTCCAAGGACGGCCTCGACTATTGCAAAGCTCAGCAGCAGCTGGTCGTGGGGGTCTCGCTTCTTCTTTGGCACTGGCGCGAGGGTCGTCGGCGTCGAGTTGAATGTCATCGACATTGGTCGGGGCTTGGACTCGGCTGCCGGCGGCTCGTTCAGGGCAGGATTTGTCTGGGTCGGGTCCAGGAAGCTGAAGAAGTTGTGTGACAGGGAGTGTCGGTGCTGACATTAGCTAGGAACAGCATACACACCTACGTGATGTCCTCGCCGCTTGCCCCGCGGGATGGGCTCCTCGCCGACCCTGTGGTCGGCGGCAGAGCCGTAGTGTGCGCTCTCGTCTGGAATCATGCTGTCCCCTGCCTCGGGCGTGGGGCTGGACGGCCGCGCAGGCATGCCGGGATGAGGGTAATAGGCACTAAGGTTGCGCGAGTGGTGGTGACTGCCCCGTTGATCAAACGAGGAAGCCGGCGATCCCATCACAGGCACCTCGAGCGAGTTGCGCCAGCTCTGCGGGCGCTCCAACGAGTTGCGCCAGCTCAGCGGCCGGTCAGCGGGGCGGACAGGAGAGGCGTACGGCGACTCGGGAACCTCCATGCTGGGCCAGGCGGGGCTGACCGGTCGGCCTGGCGAGCCGGGAGCTTCGTGGATAGACGGCGGGCGGTCAACGTTGAGCATGAAGGCTCTGCTAGGCGATCGCACCACTTCGGTCAGCTCGGCGACGCCGTCGCTGGCCTCTGAGGCCTCAATGGCGATTTCTACGCCAGAGTCATGAGTGTCGAGTTTCTTGACGTTTGGCTCTGTCGCCTTGCGAATGAAGATGGGTGGAGGGACCTGAGCTCGGCCAGCCAAGCTTGGGCGGCGCGGGGAAGGGGTGCGGATCTCGGGCAAGGAAGGTGTCGCGGAGGGCGGAGAATCGGGCATGGTCACCCAGAGTCCCAAGTTGAAGTGGGCTGGGCAGTGTGAGGGGGAGTGGTGATGACGAGGGAAGGCAAAGAGTTGGTTGATGTCGAGGAAAAGTAGGTTCAGACTGATCGGGCAGTAATTGAGGGAGTCCGGTGCCAAGGGACGTCCAAGCGCAGCGCGTCGCCCTGGCGTGCCGATGCCGCGTCCGACATGCTCACCATCGTGCAAGTCCTCTCGCGTCGGTCACGTGAAAGGCCGACATGTGGGAGGCTCGTGCGTATCGCGTGTAGGCACTGCACGTGACCTGTCGGATATCGGTGTCCGCTCGTTACGTGTGCCGATGTTGAGTGTGCCTGTACCCCACAGTGCGGCACTCTGCAGCAGGCGGCCGCTTATAGGGCTGGGGTGGGGGGACAGCAGCAGGCGGAGTGCCGGGGCCTGCAGCGCCGGACGACGTTCGGGATTAAACGAGGGGGGATTTGGTCCCGCGGCAATGGCTACGGTGACAGACTCAGGATCGTCTGGGTGAGCGCGTGGTGGCCGGTTCTCCGTTTGCCGCGCTACGTGCCGGGCGGTAGGGGGGCGGTCGCCGTCTGGGCCGTCTGGGTGGGAGTTGGTTGCCGCCTGCCGCGCTCGCTGCCCCATCCCTTACACACTTACACACCACTCAAATCTGCCTCACTCATACGTCCCTCTTTTACGCTTCCAAGTCATCCTCATCCCTTCCATCCACCTCTCTCTCCCCCTCCTCACCATCCATCATGCTCCGTTCCCTCCGCCCTGCCCGCCAGACCCTCCTGGTAAGTTTACATGCCTCAGGGAGTGACAACCAAGGCCGCACAGCGATCCGGGGAAACCTGGGGATGCCGACGGCACAATGCGCTCACCCATCACCCATCACACCGTTATCGTTATCGCTGACCCTGTTAGCGCGCCACCCAGCAGCAGCAGCGCCGTAACCTCTCCATCCACGAGTACCAGTCGTACCAGCTCCTCAACGACGTGAGTAGCGCAAGCATGGATGGCCTGGATGGTGACTCCGAGGCCCGCAGCACTTAGCCGACATGGTGTTGGCTGGTGGGGGATGTCACCTCGGCTAGATCATTGGACGCCCAATGGCAGGCACTGACGTCAATCACAGTACGGAATCCCCACTCCTCTTGGCAAGCCCGCCCGCACCCCCGACGAGGCCTACGACCTCACCAACAAGTTTGAGAAGGACGGAAAGAATGTCGTCGTCAAGGCTCAGGTCCTCGCTGGAGGACGTGGAAAGGGCCACTTCGACACTGGCTTCCAGGGCGGTGTTCACATGGCCGACTCGTGAGTATCGAGCGGGAGTCGCCGCCGTGCGCGAGCGCCTCGATGAACAGGCGGCGGCGGTGGCTGGTCCAACTGGTTTGCCGACGTGCGACATTCCGACGCGGTGCACGCGTTCATTGGACCACTAAGCGCGCGCCTCCCCCACCTACCGCGGACAATGCTAACGAACCAGCGCCGAGCAGGCCAAGGAGCTCGCCGACCAGATGATCGGCCACAAGCTCATCTCCAAGCAGACCGGCGCCGGTGGCCGCATCTGCAACGCCGTCATGATTGCCGAGCGCACTCCCAAGGCTAAGGAGTACTACGCCGCCGTCCTCTCGGACCGTGCCCGTGGATGCCCCGTCATTGTCGCCTCGAACCAGGGTGGTATGAACATTGAGGACGTTGCCCACGACACCCCCGAGGCTATCATCACCACCAACCTCGACTTTGACAACGGCATTGACCACGCCTCGGCCGTCAAGCTCGCCGAGCAGCTCGGCTTTGCCCCCGCCGCCCGTGACAACGCGGCCGAGATCTTCCAGCGCCTCTACACCATCTTCAAGGAGAAGGACGCTACGCAGATTGAGATCAACCCCCTTGGCGAGTTCCCCGACGGAAAGGTTCTCTGCATGGACGCCAAGTTTGGTTTCGACGACAACGCCGACTTCCGCCAGAAGGACGTCTTTGCTCTCCGCGACAAGTCGCAGGAGGACCCCGATGAGGTCAAGGCCGCCGAGTTCGGCCTCAACTTCATCAAGCTTGACGGTGACATTGGCTGTCTCGTCAACGGTGCTGGTCTCGCCATGGCCACCATGGACGTTCTGAACCTGCACGGCGGCAACCCCGCCAACTTCCTCGACGTTGGTGGTGGTGCCACCGCTGAGGCCGTCAAGGAGGCGTTCAAGCTCATCCTGTCCGCTCCCCAGGTCAAGTCGATCTTTGTCAACATCTTTGGTGGAATCATGCGCTGCGACGTTATTGCCGAGGGCATCATCAAGGCGACGACCGAGCTCGAGCTCAAGATCCCCGTCGTCGTCCGTCTGCAGGGAACGAAGGAGGCCGAGGCCAAGAAGCTCATCAAGGAGTCTGGCCTCAAGATTTACGCCAACGACAACCTCGACGACGCCGCCGCCGAGGCCGTCAAGCTCGCCGCCGAGGGCGCCCCGCACAAGTAGATTTAGAGCGCAGCGTGTCGACTGAATTGTTTGTACTTTTTTGCCTTGCACCAACCCCTATATAGTAGATGGATTACAGATCACCCAAAACGTGCGTGCCCCCAGCATGGTTAGTTTGCAAGCGAGTGTGTGAAACTGGAAATGACGACGCGATGACCGAGGGAACTTCGGTGAACACGACGGATGACGTGAGTCCGTGGATGCTTTCTAGCCCCCAGTCTCACACACTGCAAGGCACAGCACCCAGGTGCCGCTTTATAAAGGATATGCATTCCGTGAAAGGACTGACACCACCACACGGCATACACACACAATGTCCTCCAGCGGCCAGCAGAATCAGCAAAAGCAAATCCCCAAGTCGCTCCAGGGGCTAGCAAAGGCGAACAAGGCGACAGGCCTGCTCATGGCGTACACGGCGGCGTTTCTGACTCTTGGGTAGGTTATGGGTTCTATGCCGTTCGACGGGCGTTCCGAGAGTGACGACGGCGCCGAGGGATGGATTGTGCAGGAGCAGAAGCCTCGAGGGGTTTCAGCTTGTCCGATACGGCTTGGAGCTATCGGGAAGGGCGTTGATCATGGACGGAGCCAGAGCATATGGTGCACCGAGAGCTGTCGCTGGTGACAGTCTCGGCTACGAGGTCGAGATGGCTCCGAGATGCGTGTGGATGGCTACCGGGGATCCTTAGCAGTACAATGTCGTTGCAGGAAGCTGACGTCCAGTGTTATCGACTACATCACTGAGCGTGTCACGCCCTCCTCGCGCCCGGTGCTCGCAATGCACCTGAACCCTGCCAACTGCCAGTGCCCGCCCTGCCGCTCGATCCGGGACGGGTCGTACAACTCGCAAGCGCGCAACATCTACGCCGTGCCCGTGGGCAACTCGCCAAAGGATCTCTCCAGCGCCGCCGACAGCGTACAGCGCCTGGCCGACGATATCGGCAACTGGGCCCAGAAGGGACCGCCCAACACGAAATCGGCCATTGCGTTTGAGGGCTCGAATGAGGAACTGGCCGCTGTCCAGGGGAGGATCTCCCAGCTGGCGGTGGAGCTGAGGCAGAAGGCGAATAAGGCGAGTAGCCAGGGAAGTCAGCAGATTGGGCGGGGTCAGTAGCCTTCGAGCCCCGCAGCCAGCGGTAGCGAGCGGATGGGAAAGGTGGCAGGGGTTGGAGTAGAGACAGATATATCAGAAGGACAGATAGATATGGATGCAGCGAATCGAAAGGCACATGCCCACTGGGGGTAGCACATGCTCCGCGCCTCTGCACGAGCCGTGCATGCGCACAAGGCGTGCCCGAGGAGGCGTTATCAGTGCGCCGATAACTCCCTGCATGCCCTATGCAGTCGCAAGCGAGCAGATCGCTGGGCAAATGGAAATGGTCACCGTAGTAGTGCCAAGCCGAACCCGCCGTGCTGCCCCGCATTAGGTCGCCGGTCAGACGTACCGGCGTAAGCCGGGATTCCCCGTTGAGAGATCTACGGCCGGATCTGGTTACCCCACACTTGAACTCTTGTGACTGTTTGTGGGCACGGTTATCTTTCCACACTCTTTATTCTTTCTCTTCTGACCTGTTTTCCGCCTGCAACGCAAACATGGCTGAGAAGAATCTTGCGCCCTACGACGTCGTCGTTATCGGTGCTGGCGGTATGTCTTCCCCATCTTCCTCATTCGACACTCGGATATCTCGGGATGAATACACGGGCTGACATCAGTGCTCGGGCTCAGCACGGCTGTCCAGCTGTCCGAATCCGGTCTCCGCGTTGCCGTCCTGGCGCGTGAACTGCCCTCGGACCTGCAGTCCTCGCAGTGGGCGTCGCCATGGGCCGGCGCCAACTGGTCCTCCTTCGCCTCCAACCCTCAGGAGAAGCGCCGGGACACGGCCACGTTCGAGTACTTTGACCGCCTGGCCAAGAGCAACCCCGAAATCGTCGTGAAGCGGCCCTTCAAGTATATCTGGAACCGCGATGCGGGCTACTCGTCCCCGTGGTACCGCGACGTCGTGGGAAACTTTAGGCCGCTGAAGGACGACGAGAAAGTGCCCGGTTTCAGCGGCGGGGTGCACTTTGAGTCGTTCACGCTCAACCCGCACCGCCTCCTTCAGCTTTACGAGGAGAAGCTGCGCGCGCGCGGCGTGCCGCTCATCAAGGTCCGGCTCAACAGTCTCGCCGACGCATTCAAGTGGAACGCGCGCCTCGTCGTGAACGCGAGCGGACTGGGGGCCCGCGCCCTCCTCGGCGTCGAGGACGCGAAGGTCTTCCCGGACCGCGGACAGACGGTGCTCGTCCGCGCTCCCTCCGTCAACACGTGCTTTGGCGTCCGCGACCTCAACAACAAGCCCGGCGAGGCGACGTACATCATCCCCCGGCCGGGTAGCGGGGGGTGCGTCGTGGTCGGAGGCACGAATCTGAAGGGCGAGACGGACGTCCTGCCCCGCAAGGAAACCGCCGAGCGGATCCTCGAGAAGGCGTTCAAGATTTGTCCCCTGCTCGCTGAGGGCGGCAAGAGCTGGCGGGATATCCAGATCGTTTCGCACAACGTCGGACTCAGGCCGTGTCGCGAGGGCGGACTCAGGCTCGAGCTCGAAGAGGTTGACCTGAAGGGTGAGAAGGACTTGCTTGCCGAGGGAACCAAGGAGTAGCACGCGTGGAACAGTGCTTCACTGCTATGGCATTGGGCCGGCCGGATACCAGGCCCACCACGGCGTGGCACTCGAGGCGTGCGACGTCGCCCTCAAGTTCCTCGGAAGCAAGGCTAGGTTGTAGAATACAAGATACATGCTACAGGGATCTAGGATATCTATGGACATTGAATCATTACACTGTTCCGCTCACTGCGGCTACGCCCTCACATGCTCCTCGACCTCGCGCATGCCGCCGCTGTCCGCCTTCCAGCTGCCCCGGAAGTAGTGCCATACCATGGCCTGAGGATCGTCCCTCGACTGGCTGCCAAACTGTCCCACCTCGGGCGAGAATCCAGTGACTGGTAGCACAATCACGTCTCCAACGCGGAGAGGCTTGTCGAGCCCCCGGAGGTCGGTCCACTGGCACCCGTACCGAGCCGCGAGGTACTGCAGCACGGCATCCGTCCAGATGCCCGGGCCGGTCCAGTCCATGATGCCCACGGGTCCCCCGGCCGATGGCTCCGACAGTGCCGTTGTCTTCATCATTTCGATTGCACGACCCGTGTCATTGTTGTGCAGTGCGAATTGAATGTCGCGCCAATGGTCCTGAGCCCATTCGGCGGCACTTGCTGTGCGGTGCACAATTCGCAAGAGAGCGCTGAGGGTGATGGGGTGGTGCGGCGCAGACGCCATGGTCCACTGCACAATCTGCAGCGGGCGCGGCCACCAGTTGTGCCAGTCGTGGCGGTTGTGTACGTCGACCTCGACGCCGACAATGACGCTCGCCCGGCCGAGCACCTTGCCTGCGTCCTCGCCCGCCCGCAGGCGGCGGAGCTCGCCCTCGCTCGCCCACAGCTCCGGTTTCCAGACCTCGGCGCCGCGGCCCCAGTCCGCCATCGGCTTCAGGCACTCCGTGTCTGTGTCGCTGTACACGCCGCCGTGCACCAGGAGGAGTAGGTAGCGGAGCACGTCGGCTTTGAGGATACCGACTCGCAGGTTGTCCCAGAGATACCGGATACGGCCGGTAGGAAAGGTCGATGACACCCAGGCATCGGCGCCCGCGTTTGTGAGAGAGTGGTACGCCCAACCCTCGTCGGGGCAGTGGTGATCGCGCCAGGTCTGGACCGCAAATGTCTTGGCCGTCTCGCCTTCGCGGTCCGTCTGCCATACCGTCTCATTCACGTCGTACGCCTGCTTTGGCAGGGATGTCCGTCCAGCTTCGCCGAGATAGCGCCCGATGCCTGCGCGCAGGTCGTGCTCCAGATCGAAGGGGAAGGTCGCCGACGATACAAAGTCGGACAGCTGTGCCGCGTAGGCTCCCAATTCTGTCGGCCCCAGGTCGTATGCGTCCTTTGCCTCGGAGCCGAGCTCTGAAGCGGCCTCGCTGTGTGCTGACACCCACGGCGAGAGCTTTGCACGCAGCTTGGACGGCTCTGGCTCAACATAGCCCCACGACACCATGTAGTCGGACGGCGGCTCGTATCCGCCCGACTGGAAGTCAAGGTCGGCCTCGTCATCTGGAGTTAGCTTCAATAGGGTTGTCCTACAGCTCCAAATCACTGCGCCCTCCTGCGCCCTTGCTTCTGCGCAGTCTCGAACTGCGCCCCCTTTGGCCGCATTTGCGCAACAGAGGTGATTCCCGCGGCGGCGAAGAACGAATCACGCCTGCGATCTTGCGCGATCATGCTCGCGGGCGAGCAACTCTAAAGTGTACTCACGGTAGCTGTGTGCTCGCCACTTGAAATAGCTGTCACCTCCATAGTGGTGAGCGAGGAAGAAGAGTGTGCCAGCGCCGACGGCGAGGACGATGGCCCGCTTCCACATGCGGGGGAAGCCGACCTGCCCCTGCCCCGGCGGCGGGGAGAGTGTGCGTTCGTGCTTCATTGCTTATCTCTGTCCTCTGGCGCAATGTCGGCGGCGGGGCGGATATCGGCGGGAAAGCCGGGGGCCGGTGGCTTGAGCTGAGACCCTTAGAGAAGGCAGATTCTGGTAATTCTGGTACTGGTGTGTGTTAGACTGAGGGGGTGTGTAGGATCTGGTGAGTGGTGAGAAGAAAGGAGATGAGGAGCGAGGAAGAGAGATGACGAGTGTGAGGTGTGTAATGGATGATGTATGCGAGTAGCGAGGAACGAACGTTTGCATGGGGTGGGATATGCATGAAACGCAAAGGCGCAGCACGATGACGAGCCCAAATCTCGCTGGCTCGCAGAAATTACTGCGGCGCTGGACCCCGGTGCCCCCAAATTAGACCACTGCTTGATTAAACCTCCACCGCCTCGTCGATAAGCCTTTGTTTAGTGCTGAGCTTGGTGCGTCCCGTTGGGCAGGGCATCGACTGCGGAGTGTGCACGAGAGCTGCGGGCGGGGCAACCGAGGCCGGCAGCGCATCCGTAGGAAAAGCAGCACCGACATTCTCGGACATGACGCCGTATGTACGTACACGTCCCTCCTCGTGTGCTCCATGTGCAGAGGCGTGGGTTAACTAGCGAACCTAATAAAGGTCCAGCAATGTGCCGTGTTGGCCGATGGCTCCAACCCTATGTGGAGAGGCTAACCTAGGCCGATTGCTGGAACGAAGGTACACCGCAGTAATGGTCTCGACTCTTGTCTCTGCACTGGTAGCCCGGCATGCAGATCTTGTAATCGAGAGTCAGTCGGTGAGGTCATGTGCCCCGATGCGATGTTTTCGTGCGAACAAGTGAACAAGAGCGCGGCGCTGTATGCAAGTGTAGAAGGCATGTCGCAGTCGAACGCCCCCAGTTCTCGATGGAGTGAGTGGCCGAGTGGGTTCCAGTGTCCCTGGGGGGCTATCGGACGCGGTAGACGCGGTGGGCGGGTGACAAAAGGGCCAGAGGGAGCCAAAGCGATGACGGGGAGCCCTTTTCGTTGTCCAGACCACGGTGGTGCCAGGGATCGGCTCATCGGCTCACTCGACTTTCATTGCATTCTTCTCCACTTTCCTTTCGCTTCTTGCTATCAGCGCCTCCCATTCACACCTTCCACCACTACATCAACAACACACACACACACACACACATACACACACAAACACTACACTCCTTTGCACACAAACATACTCTTCAAATCTCGGCGTCTGCTCCTTTTCCTCCCGCATCGCACGAACCTCTCGCACCTCGCGCTCTACCTACGTGACACCTGACTTCTTGCCGCTCACCTATTTCGGGCACTCGGCATCTGGGCACACGACCAACAACATTTCATCTCATCTCTGAATCTTGTCGCTCCGACCTTTCAGCAAGAGCCAGTAGCTTGGTTGATCTGCACCGGACGCCGCACGCACCCCTCCTTCCCTCCTTGAGGATCTGTCAGCCTTTTGCGCATCCTTCCTCCCCTGCTCCGTCCTCTTCCCTTTCCTCAACATTGCTCAGCATGAACCAGCAGTCGCGCATCCAGCGTCTTCTCGAGGACGTCCTCGTGCAGCCCGGCAACGACAAGTGCGCCGACTGCCATGCGCCCTCGCCGCGCTGGGCGTCGACAAACCTCGGCATCTTCCTCTGCGTGCAGTGTGCGTCCCAGCACCGGCGACTGGGCACGCACAACTCGCGCGTCAAGTCTGTGACGCTCGACGAGTGGACGCGCGAGCAGGTTGTGCACATGCGCTCGATTGGAAACACGAAGAGCAACGCCATCTTCAACCCCGATGAGCGCCGGCATCCCCCGCCCCTGCAAGTCGGCGAGGAGCGCGACAGCGAGCTCTTCAAGTACATTCGGAGAAAGTACGAGCTGGGCGCCTTCAAGGCGGGCGCGGCGCCGGCGCTCTCGCAGGTTCCGATCAACTCGCGCGTGACCCAGCAGCAGGCGCGCAACGTCTCTGGTGGCGCGCAGTCGATCCGCAGCAACCACACTGGCAGCACCAAGTCGCCGGCCACGCCGACATTTGGCACGCAGCCGTTTGCCCCCAAGGCCCCGCCGAAACGCCCCGAGCTCGCTGACATTGTGGTGTCTCGCGAGCGCGATCTGCCCGCCCTTCCCAGCCCCCCGCCAAAGCCGAAGACCACTGGCCTCGCTCCGCCCCCAACTCGTGCTAGGGCCCCGACATGGAGCGGCGACGGCCTCGCCCCGCCTCGTCCCACGCCCGTGAGGAGCAGCAGCGCAAACGCCCTGCGCCAGAATGACCTGCTCGTCGACACTTCGGGCAGTTCGAGCGCGACCCGTCCCCTGCAGCTCGGCGGCTTCCCGGCAGTCCCCTATCAGTCGCCCCAGCAGCCGGGCATGCCGCCAAACGCGACGCCGGGCTTCGCCCCATTGGCTTCGCCCGGCTACCCCGCGCCCAGCCCGTTGGCTCTGGGCCAGCAGGCGTTCCAGTTCCCGATCCAGCAAACGCAATTCCAGGCAAACAACCCCTTTGGGCAGCAGATGCAGATGGGCATGGGACAGCAGCAGATGGGCATGCTCTCCCCCGGCTCGGCGGGCGTTAGTCCCATGCACACTGGGTCCCCGATGCACACGGGCATGTCGAATGGGATGAATGGCATGTACAACGGCATGCCCAACGGCGCGAACGGAATGATGGCCTCGCCTGGCGGCATGGGCTCGAACTCGCTCTCGCCGAATGGGTACGGCATGAACGCGATGAACACGGGCATGTCGAACATGGGCGGCATCAGCAACTCGATGTCCATGAACGGCATGAGCGCCATGGCGGGCACGAGTCCTGGCGGGTTCGGGGGGCAGATGAACGGCATGTCGCACGGTATGAACGGGGGGATGGGAATGAACGGCATGGGCATGGGCCAGCAGCAGTACCAGTATGGCGCGGGCTTCATGTGAGGGATGCGAGGAAGGGCGGATCTTGGTCTAAGAGTTGGTCTCATTCTTGTTGTAGATTATGCACGCTTTGGTCTTCACTGCGCTCGCTCTCAAGCCGTCGATCTGCTAAAGGTGTGACCGAGAGAACATTGACTTTGCCTGCGACAATTGTCTAGTTATCACAGTATTCATCCCGGGAACAAGAACACAAACACTGGAACAAGGAATCTACGAGGTCGAGTCTAGCGGTTGAACATACAAGAGCGGGTTTGAGCATGGAGGCGTGTGAGGGGTAGAGTAGGGAGGGGAGGAAGAGGGGGTACGAGTTGAGTCGTCGTAACGTGTATTCGTGTCGGTCATTATAACCTTTTTAGAAGAGGGCGCGAATGGCGGCCGAGGAGGCGGCGAGCCAGGCCCACACGACGGCGCCAGAGAGAATGGGCAGCGAGAGGTTGTCGTCGCATCCGAGGTCGAGGGCCTCGACGACGGCGCCGCCGACGCCGACGACGCCGGCAGTGAGCAGGCGGCCGAGGCCGTACCGGAGCACCTCCCAGGATGCCTCGCCCTCGCAGCCCTTGTGCCAGAAGCCGGCTCCGATGAGGAAGCCCGTGACGGTCGCGGCGAGGAAGCCGGCGAGCGACTTGCGGGGCGCAAACGGCAGCCACTTGATTCCGGGCACGTGCGAGGGCAGGGGCTTGGTGTACTTGCCCCAGAGGCGGCCGATGGTCGAGGCCGTCGTGTCGCTCCAGCTCAGCGTCAGGATGGCAACGACAGCGACATCCTTCGGGTAGAACGAGAGCACGAACACGACTCCGATCAGGTACCAGATCACGCCGTTGGGTTTCGTGCGCTCCTCCTCGCGCATCAGGAAGCCGACGACCATCTCCCACACCTCGGCGAAGCGGGGGAAGTTGAGCCGCACAACGTCGATCGCACCGATCGTCACTGCCGCAATGGACAGATACGTGATCAAGGGCCGCAGCGTCGGCGGGTCCGTGTACCACAGCGCCAGCGTGAAGAAGCCTGATGTCAGCGAGCATTCTTCTGGAACAGGGGTCAGGCACGCAGGCCGAAGGTCACCGGCAAGCGCAGCGAGCAAAGATAGCTCGACCGACACACAGCTGTGCATACTACACACGCAGCACACAGTCATTCCGTCATGCGCATCATCGGGCAACCCGCACACTGGATCCGCATCGTCCGACTAGCACTGATGCTTAACCGAGCGTGCGAGCTCTAGTGCGTGCGAGCCGTGTGGATGACGGAATCGGGTGTCACGCTTCCCCACAACCCCCATGTTCGCTTGTTCGGTCGCGTCATGGATGGCCAATACGCTGCTCGCTGCCGCTTGCCTGCTGCATGTCGTGTGACCGCCTTGCTGCACTCACCGATGCTAGAGTGGAACGTCTTGCGGGGAATCTCCCAGTCGACCGCCTTGGTCGGAGTCACGCCCGGGGGCGGCTTGGCGTGGACGCTGCTGCTCCTCCTCCTGCGAATGACGGGCTGGCCGTTGATCTTGCCGTTTGCCTGGCCGTTCGTGAATGCCGACGAGGGGGCGGCGGGGGCGTCAGCGTGCTCGGGGTGGTTCGGGTCGAGCTCGACATGGGCGCGAATGATGGGGAGCGTGCTCGTGGTGGTCTGTGGGGAGCGGGACGGGCGCCGGGCACTCCGCCGCCGCGGACCCTCACTCTCCGAGCTCGAGTAGCCCGACAGGGAGGGCGAGGACGGCGACAGCACCGGCGAGACCGGGGACGCGGCCCGGAAGGACATTTGCGGGTCGCGCGGGGGGCTGGCGG